GTTTGTCAATAATACAAGAATATTTGACTAGAACCAGGTCAATGTATGACGAATTTTTCAACATTCAAAGTCAAATTGAGGAACTGGAAATTATTTTAAAACAAACATCTACGGCAGATCAGTGTATCACTTTTGACAAGGAATGTTATACCGTTGTGTGCGAATTAGAGGCATTGGAAGCCAAATATTCAGCCAAATCTGCAAAAAAATATGATATTCCTATCGTTCAAAATAGCGCTGTTAATGTAAAACTGCCAGAATTAACATTTAGAGTAGCAGCAAAATCAACAAATAAAAACAAGAAAACAAATTTAAATACCAATTCAAAAAGATCGGTAACGTGCCCATATTGTTCCGATCCTCATAATTTATTTTGTTGCGCAAAATTCATTAACCTAATGGTTACAGATAGGTTAAGGATCGTGAGGTCCAAAAAACTATGTTCTAATTGTTTTCAGAACAGTCATAAAGTTACGGAATGTAAATCATCGTATGTCTGTAAAATTTGTAAAGGACATCACAATACGTTGTTGCATGTAGACAATCCCGAGCCGAACGAAATACCAAGTACTAGTAGTGACAATAATCAAGTCAAATTAGATCAATCCGTTGTTCTTAAGGCAAATTCTCAACAAGTTTATTTTAGTAAAGTACTTCCAACAGCCCAAGTACAAATTTATGGCAAATTTGGAAATAAACCTCAAGTGCGGCCACTGTTAGAGAGCGGCTCCGAATTAAATTTTATTTCAGAGCGAAAATTATTAAATCTTAAATCACAACCGAACGTTTTGTCAATCGCTGGTGTCAACCGTTGTAATACTAGTGTCTCACAATTAGCAAGTATCAAAATTAATTCTAATTACCGACATTATGAATTAAACCTTTCATGTGTTATTTTACCACAAATCTCGGAATTTTTACCATCCACGTCATTTTCAATCGCTAATTTAGAATTTCCGCACCACAACAAATCACCAGATCCCGCATTTCATGTCAAAGGGACGATAGATTTATTGTTAGGTGCTCAACCCTTCTTCGAAATTTTACAGCCTAATCGGAGATGTTTGAATAAGGATTTTATTCTTCAGGAAACTAAATTCGGTTGGGTAGTGGTTAATGCTCATGGAGATAATCCGGGGGTTGTAAAACAGGGTTCTTCTTATTATGTCCAACCCGTCCTAGAACAGATGGTTGGAAAGTTTTGGCAATTAGATAAATTTAAAACTTCCGCAAAACCTCAATCGGCCGACGAAATCCTATGCGAAAAGAAATTTATGAAGGATCATAAACGCTTAGAAATGGGAAGGTATTCAGTGTACCACTTCCGTTCAAAGCGGAAAACCCAAACTTAGGTACTTCTAGGGATGGTGCCATAAAACGTTTTAAATCTTTAGAATGCAAATTCCGAAAGGACGAGAATTTTAAATTATCCTTTTCGGCAGTAATTACAAACTATTTACAACCAGGTCATGCGGAACAAGTTCCTGAAGACGAAATTGATAATCCACATAGTTATTATTTACCACACCACGGTGTTCTTAAAGAAAGTACCACGCCACAATTACGTATTGTGTTTGATGCATCATTTAGATCATGTAATCAGAAAAGCCTGAATGACGAGTTATTAGTTGGTTCAAAAATCCATTCTTATTTATATCCAATTTTATTACGTGAAAATGTCACACATTCGAATGATCTTAAGGTACTAAAAAATATTATTTTCGAAATTGAAGAACGACGTCAGGCCGTCTATTCAAATGCAGTAGTACACAATAAAGGTCAATCACGATCAGATTTATTATTAAGGTACTCCTCATTTTCAAAATTAATTAACGTAGTAGCCTTTTGTTTACGATTTTACAACAGAGTCAGATATAGACAAAGTGTAAATGGCGTACTAACTGTAAAGAAAATTGATAACAGTCTTAACGTTATTATTAAAATAGTCCAACAGGAATCATTTCCTGAGGAATTCAAGTGTCTCGTAAAAGGTAATGCCTTACCAAAATCTAGTCCTTTAATCAAATTAAATCCCTTTCTAGACGATAATTTATTAATACGAGTGGGTGGTAGACTCGTCAATGCAAATATTTTGTTTGATAAAAAATTTCCCTTGGTTATTCCAAAATTACACCATATTACAAAATTAATTGTACTACAGACACACTTGCGTCAGTTACATGCTGGACCGCAAGCGACTTTAGCAGTTATTAGACAAACATATTGGCCTAAGGGAGCCAACTGCGAATTACGAGTCATACATTTCGGTGTTATTAAATCTGATGCATTTTATCCCACCTCGCTCACTTCGCGTTGGTGGAATTTGGGAAGCAGGCATTAAGACCAATAAATATCATCTAAAACGAGTTATAGGGCAGTCATTGTTCACATGTGAAGAAATGTATACCTATTTGACATTGATCGAGCCGTGTCTTAACTCTCGACCTATAACTCCCATTATCCTCAAATCCCGACGATCTATCCGTACTCACCCCTGGCCATTTTTGATCGGTACTGCACTTACGTCACTTGCCGAACCTGAGGTGGGCGACATCGTCATCGTGCACGAGGATAACGTGCCCCCGTTGTGTTGGTGTCTCGGTCGGGTTGAAATCGTACATCCAGGTCGCGATGGTGAAATAAGGACTGTGTCAGTGCTAACCAGAAACGGGATAGTGCAAAGATCAGTGCGGAAATTAAGCCCGTTACCAATTTAATGCGCAATTGGGCTATACATGTGTATATATATTTCATCTTATTATTGCACTCTTGTTAATTTAAATTTAATTCCTGTCATATAATATTAGTTGACATGTATTCATTTAATTAGGCATTTTTTGTTCCTTTATTATTATGTATTATTTATCTTAATAAGTAGGTCATCCTTGAAGTTAGTACTTCAACGGGGGGACTATGTTCAGTTTACCTTAACAGGGGTTTGGGCGTAGCCAATTTGTCCACCCTACTCCCACCCGTTTTAGGATAGTTTACCTAATTTTATTATTTCATGCTCTCGGGCAGTCGTCGAGAAGTATCGAGAGGGTAAAGACGTGCCGACCCGAGAGACCGGCAATTTATAATTTTGTGCGATTAAATAAACCGTGTAACTAAAAGGTGATTTTTATTTCGCGCAAAACATATTGTTTCCAACACTTTTACTTCTACCTCAATTTCTTTTTTCAAAAATTCCTCTACTTCCATACCCGTAATTATGAAATTGTTTCTGTTTTCTGGGGTGGGATTTTGTTTCTACCGATACGATGCGAAGCGATAATGAAGCGATAAATGACAAGGACGAAGATATAAATTTCAGATGAGAAAGAAAAAGACCACAACATTTTATCGCAAAATTTTCTCCGATATATCCCATTTTAAATGTGCAAAACATTTTAAGTTAGTTCTTGTGGTTTATTATTGCATTCATATTTTTTCAACTTCATAGAGGTTATCACAAAAAATCGTAAAATCAGAGCGGTATTTGTTGGAAGTTGGACTGTACTTCAGGGGCGATGAAGATCTGTCGAAATAACTTTCGACATATTTTTTTCATTTAACTTCTCACAAAAGTTTTTTGGGAAGGAGTTTTATATAATTATTTACAATTTTTATATATAATTTTTTGGCATATCATTAATAATAAAAATGTGATGAAAAACGAAGGGAAGAAAAACCTAAAGCAAGATTGTATTTTCAATCCTACAAAAAGAAGAAGACAGATTTATTAATTATTATCGGATTGCACACTTATTTTGTCAACTGGTTTGAAAAGGTGAAGAAGGTTAAGAAAAAAAACAAAGCACTAAATTAATTAAAATTCATTTAGGTAACAGGGAAAACGGAAGATTTATATTCAATAGAAGTGGGACAACAAGTTAACTTCGTAATAGCGAAGAAAACATTCATGAAAAACAAAACAAAAGGACTTTTTTGTTTTCTGACAAAAAAGTGTTCAGTTACTTAGTGCTGCTTTAATAGCGGGTGACTATTAATGATGGAAGCAAATTTTTGTGTTAGTAATTCTGATTTATTGGTAGCAGCGTTAACATGTCAGTCCACAGTTGTCAATTTTGACAGGAGCCTTACAAACATGATGAGAAAATAACTTGGTGCCCTAAATGTCTTTTGACAATCAGGTATACCATCATAAAATTTTAAATGTGTTGCCAACGCGACAAAAACAATCACAATCATTAATCACTCGGTATTTGTTATTGTTTTTCAAAGTTCTAGAAATTTTGTAATTCAACGTTATCGACTCAACCTTGTGATATATTCTATATTGGTTTGAAATTTTACTGAGAGATTTGAAATTGGACTTTGTACAAAACAGATTTGTTTGGCTTAATATTTTGGAATTTTTAGATCTTTTACATGAATTATTTTCAAAGTTTCCTTTAACATATGATTATCAGAACAATATTACAACGTTTTTTCAACGTAAAATGATTTGTTATGGAGCAACGAAGGTCTCTATACAACGCAGCTCCATTTTTTAATAAAAAAATTCTCTACATTGCAATCGAGCCTGTGCATAAACCATCAACAATTTAAACGGAATTGTTCCGGAATTATTTTTGACTGAATGCATCACTTCGTATTCACATAATTTGCACTTGTTAAAAATCACGTTGATCCGAACCATGAACCCATGCAGACGAATTTTTGTCGCGTATCGCAAAATCAAGGTTACTTCTCATTGATCTCTTCCCAAAATAAAAATCGACACAAAAGCGTTAATACCAAAACAAACATAGGTCTCTCAATTAAGATAAATCTCCAAAAATCACAACCCCAGAGCCTGATAATGCAGCTACTACGCCATTAGATGCAGTGCTGATACGAATCGTTCCAAATGGCTTTGCCATTTACAAATAGAATCTCTGTCAGATAAGAGCGTTATTAGACCATTTCTGCATGTGTGCTTTTTTTGGGTTAAACCATTGCCGATTCATGTATGCGCGCGGGCCTCTTGCTCAGCCAACAAGACCAATTGAGAAAAATTTTAATTTATATCTAATTTATTTTTAGAAAGTTTAGACGTTATCTTTGCAACAATCTCATCAGCATTTATTAATCTTTTCTCTTCGTCATGATCCATTCTTTCAGCTACACCAGGCCATGCACCTAGCAAAAGAGTAACTGTTTTTAGCCGGAACACTGAATTATTTGATGTTTTACATGATTTTGCTGGTTTAGTTGTGGGCTTCATAGGGGGGCGCCGGTGCCTTTCTTCCGACAATAACGTGGACATTGCGTTTCGAGTCTCCTTAGGAAAGTAGATGATGTCTCCGTCTCCAGCGCTGTTATCGCTCCAGGTGTCTAAAATAACAATGTAATTTATAAATTCAGAACCGTTTAATTCATTATTATTTTATTATAATAATGGCTGAATTATTCATGAAGGAAGAAAGATTGCCAGCAGAAATTTTCATGCTATTAACATTTGAAGCTATAAAAATTAATAAAGTCTGTTATTTCTTGATATGAGTTCCATGCAAAGATAACATTTTTTAAATACCTGTCGTTGTTCAGTAGGTATGGCGTACCAATTACAAATAAACTATGAATAATTACAGAAATGAAATGTGGCTTGTTCTACTCTGCTCTAACCTGCCGAGAGCTACCCTACCCTACATGATCAGATTTTCAAATTATTAGATTCTAATTTTTTTATTTTAGGATATTTTATTCGGGATGAGATGAATTTCTTGGTGAATTTTTTTGTTAGTATGATAATAGATACCATTTTTAGTTTTGGAATCAAGGACACTGACATTAAAAGCGTTAAACTTTACCAGAACAGGAACAGCAACAACTGTCTTTACTATCCGTCTTCTTCAAAAGAACCCTCTCCCTAATACTCGCTAGCAGATCCTGATACTGTTGATTTAATTTTCTTTTTTCCACTTCCTCATTCAATTTTTTCACTGAACTTTTGACAAAATTCCGATTACAGTTATCTTGGTTTCGTTTTTGGTCGTTCGGTTTTTCCTGACGTCGTTGCCGGTGACCATTTTCCCGATTCTGTTTTTCTTGGGTTTGTATTTGACCGCAACAGCAGTTCTTCACGTTGTCCAATCTGCAATCGGTCTGCGTACCAGTGGTAATTTTTGCCTGTTTCTTCATCCTGCAATCACTAAGCAGCAAATTCTGCATTAATTTATGTTGGGGTAATGCCCTCCCCAGTCTTTTGTTGTCTCCGAAACAAAAATGTGCCATCATCGCAAAATTTTGACTCCTTACTGCCAAAATTTGACACTAGACCCGATTCATGGCTAACTGTAGTGGTTAATATGATCGCATGTCGCCGTCATCACTGACCATAAAAGAAATAATGGTGTTTAAGAATGTAACCGTTCCTTTGAATCTTAACAATTCACACTCTGATTAAGGCAGACATGGACACCGACCGCATAATTTTGTTAATTAATTATAGTGATTATAATTACGTATGTACCAATACGAGCGCAGGAGATTTTCGACCGATTTATAGCCCTAACTGTATGGTAAATTTTACGGACAATAAAAAAAACGAAAGCAACTTAATTATTGGTGCAATTAGCCAAATTTGGGGAACGGATATGGGTGCACTGACAGGAAACTGTTTCCATTACCTGGATCTTACAAGCTGCAAATTTTTCCTTTGGACAGATGGTAAATGAGCAATTGTGCGAACAAAGAAAGTTAAGATTATCAACGTTGAGTTCGTCTTCCATTAGGCATATAATGTTGTCAATTAGTTGGATGGAATTATTTAGAAGTAATGAACGGCAGTCAGGTTTAAATCTGTTTTGAGTATTCATTTGTTGTTAATTGGACACGGTTAGCAACAGACGAAGCGTTTATTCTTTTTGCATTGATTTATTTTATGTCGAGGTACGTAACGCGAATTCCAAATGTAACCATATATTTCCAAAGTAACAGCTGTTAGGCGATTATTGTTAATTATATTAATAACTTAACTGAAATTGTTTTAAAAAATAGTTTGTAACATTAACTACTTACTTTAACTTAAACAATTTTGATTTTCTTTTTCAAAAGTCTGGATTTAAGAGTTTAAAGCGGATTCATAAACCACAAGTAAGAGTATGCTATTTTATAAACTTTACATAACATTTACTAGACAACATTTTGAGATGACGCTGGTTTCCACTACAGACCCAACTGTAAATTTTGTTATGTCCAAAATATATAAAGTATTATCACATTTACAAATAAAATTATTGCTTTAACTTTTTATGATTATAAGTTCTATATAGGTATATGACTTTTTAATGCTTAGGTCAGGTAGGTTAAGTCAGGTCAGTCTATAGACGAGGTCGCAATACACAATCTTCCTACTAGTGGAATTCAGATATCGCGGAACAGAGGAAAAAGTGTTTGAATATAAAACGAATGCACGTGAGACATACGAAATAATCAGACGGGTTTAAGGAAGCTGATACCAAAGCTAAGGATGAGGCATGAAGGAAAATAACGAAGTCGGTAAAGCATAACCTATGGGGGCAATGCTATATGATTGTTATAGAAAATGCGAGCGGTCAATGATATTAAACGGCTGAATGAAGAGGATAAATGCAAGATTGCCAAGATGTTATTCCCAAAGCAAATTAGTAGACTGGACGGTGCCGAAAGCAAACAGTGTCCCATTATTCACGATGACAGAGCTCCTAGATGCGGGTAAAAGCTAAAGTCGGACGACATGACGTCTTAGGGGATTGTGGCGGTGATGAAGATTCTCTATCTAGAGCTTTTTAATAGTGTGTTTAAAGCAGAACGATTTCCACTGAGCTGGAAAACGACGAAGTTGGTATTCTTGGAAACAAAAAAGACTCCAGTTCAAACTGAAACTTCATATAAACCATTGTATGTGAAATTTTGAAAGGGTTAAACGTAGATATAGAGAAAGAAGATTTAGGATTTATCTAGAAAGACGAAATTACATGAATCATGTTGCAAATATTGTCCTGAGCTTCAAATAACTAGGAAAGGTTTGGGTTTTATGGTAGTTTGGAGAAATAACTGGGTGTTAAGCCATGCTTTCAGGTAAATTCGGGCCTTAATTACTTTTGGAAATACCGTTCATTCCCAATATTTTTAATAGTCTGTTTTATGCTGGTCGAAGGGACGTTATACTGTTATTTTTCATCGTGAGTTTGCATTGAAAGCATTTAAAGCGATACAGGTGTGTCAATAGGTCGAAGATAACTCTAATTTATGGATTTAACCTTTTCCTGAACTTATTCTTCAAGAAGGAACTGTGTTTTGTCCCGCCTGTTCTAAACTGGTAAGTATTGTTACGAAATAAATGACGCCTATGGGTCTTCTAGTATGTATGTGTTTCTTCTAGTATGTAGTAGTATGACTCATCGGCCGGGCGGCGCGGCGTTCGCTTAAGGAAACCCTGGAAGCGGATGTTGCGACGGACCCAGAAAATCCTCGAAGCGGCGTTCTCGAACCATCGAGGCGAATGATAGGTTAAATAAAGGCCACCGTCGGGAACGATTATTATTCAGTAAATTCAGTTCACGAGAGTACAGTTAAGTTGCGCCGGAATTATTTTGTACATAATCGCTGTGTAATAATCAGTCGTATAGTTCGAGTTATTAAGAATAAAAGCCGATTTTAAATCACCGATCATCGCAACAGTATTTTTACATCTGTGTACGTAGTACGCAGTTTTTCTCTTTACAAATACTATTCCGGACAAAATATTTCAAACGACTTCACATTACATTGACATTAAATTGTAAATGGCCTTATGACTACCTAACCTTACCTTATCCAGTCGCTGTCCACTTCCGAACAATTGAGTATAATGGTAGCCATTCCAATACCCAACTAAGCCGAAATTTGTCCATATGACATACCAATTTCGCGAAGACATAATTCTCGCTTTATGATGCATATCGTATGATCATATTTCCCAAAATTTTGCTGCATACTTTCCGCTCTCTACTAATAACGTTAGAACACGTTAGATTTCGTCCCGTGCCGCTTATTTTGGCATAGAACAGGAGCTCGGCAAGAGAAAGATAGCTCCTATTAGTTATTTAAATGACGGAATACATTTCTGATAGGCGACAAATTATTGCAGGTCATATGCCGGGTTCCACGCAAAAAAATCTGATAAATCGGGTCATCTCCGAAAACCACATAAAACTTTATTTATAGTATAAATCTCACAAAAAAAATCTCCGGAAACACTTTTCTTGTGACAATGAGAAATACTCTTATTAATTAGCTGGAAGGTTTACATAATTAATTGATTCCTAGTAACTAGCCTAAAGTAATAGTCGACAGTGACAAGTAAAAAGTCAAAATCTATTTCTTGCCTCAAGTTATCTATAAGAGAGATTAACAAAGAAAATCCTAGTCGATTAGTTAGGACTCAAGGAGTATGTTTGACTGTTGTACAATATGAATTACAATAATATTACGGAAACCATTAATTTTTAACCAAAAATCTTATTTTTGTTGAATTATTTTACAGGGTTTCTATAAATGATTATAGGGTCGAAGTAGATCATGGAAACGTGTCGCCTCTTACTTTATGTGCATTTTACACTAAATGCCCAAGTAATCAAGACAAATATCATATCTCAGATCTTAATAAAAAATAAAATTAATTCATTACAATAAAAATAAACAAATTTATTGCGGTTAAACATCAAGTAAATAAATGTTGAAAATATCGTTAGCCATTTTGTTCAAGGCAATTTTAAAAATGTAACATCTTTTCGTTAATACCTTGAACATTAGTTTCATGTTGCATGTTGCAACAGGAACTCCTGCTGCCGAGGAAATTTTGTCAAAGATGTTTGCGGATTCTGTTCAAGTCGTCTCAAATCATTAACAACTTCCTCAGATACTAAAGATCTTCCAGGGGATTTTCCTGTGTCGACACTCTCAGTTCGAACAAATCTGTTGACTACATATCTAATGTGAGACTCTAACGTTGTTTCTTGAATTATTAAATCACGGTGTTTGGTCAGATATTCTTGCTTATAAGCGTTTACAAAATATACATACTCTTTGTTTACGAATGTCTCATTGCGATAATAAGACATAACCACGGTGGTAGAAGTAAGGTGTGGAAACCTCATTCATAACTTTCCTCAAAATCATTGGTAGAAAACACAAATCGCGTGGTTTGGATTATATGTCATTCGCTGTCCACACCGCAGCGACGTCTAGAGAGATCAGTTGAAATTAAGTAATAGAAAACTGCATTAAATCTTTGACATTTATGCCAATGTCATTTATTACCCAATCACAAATGTCGAATCATCCACCAATCACACGATTCACACCAAGGACCAACCACAAACCGTTGTGCTGTGATTTATTTTCCCTCCAACGAATCTGTCACTTAATTCATTCATAAATACACTGACAAGTTGAAATGTTAATACATAGATGGACATACTGTGCTGCATACTATTTCGTAGTAAATAAGCCTACTGGGATGCGTGTTTTATTCAACAAATTGGAGCGGCTTGTTTCCACACCTTACTTCTACCACCGTGGACATAACAGTGAAAGTATTTTGTTCAATAGAATAAACCATTGTCACGGTATTCGCTTCCTAGCACAAAAACAAAATTTTCGTACGCAACCATCAAGAGTTCTGAAAATGGCTGTTTCGGTGTTTAAATGACAGGTTACAAATAATATTAATGACAAGTGAGAACTGTCATAATGAGGCATAATTTCAGCGAAGCGGGGGTTTTTGAAATCCATGGCCAACTACGCTCTTTGTTAGAATCATTTATAAAAACCCTGTATAAGTTCCGAAGTACATTTTGACTTGTTTTGGCAATTATGATCGTCATGAAGCACTTATTTTGTGAAAAGGTTGCGACTAGTCTTTGTGGATTCAAGAAATTCGTTAAAAAACTTTAGAAATGTTACTTTTCAAGTTTTTTCTTGTGTTTTCTAGCGTTTCCGGCACGCTACGGGCCCGGAAATACCAAGGAAACCATAAAATTTTAGCTGAAAATCTTATTTTTGTGGAATTTTATGAGATCTGAAGTATATTTCAACTTGTTTTGACGATTCTGATCGTCATGACGCACTTGCAATATGCAGAATCAATTTATTTTGCGAAAAGGATGCGTTTGGGTATATTTTCCAATCTGGCGTTTGTAGATTCAAGAAATTTGCTAATAAACTTTAGAAATGTTATTTTTGAATCTTTTTCTTGTGTTTTCTAGCGTTTTCGGTACCCTTCGTCTTTTAGTATTATTTGAAGGACGAGGAATCATGGAATATCTAACAATTTATAAAATGTGGGTATTTAAGGGGGCAGACTAAGTGTGACAGAGTTTCTCAGGAAATTTGGTGTGCGGGACACGTCTGAGAAACTTCTTCTTTTTCCAAAATTCAGTGAAAAATGAGTTGAGAAAATACGTAATAAAGAGATAAAGAAGTTTATCTTGGTACCACGTTTTTTAGGGGATAAACTAGCGACTTGTTGGTTCGACTTTTTTAAAAAGAACATATTTTTTTTATTTTTCAAAAAGCGATTATTATATAAAATATCGCAAAGTAAAACTGACATTGCAATAATTGTTCGAAATGACTTCCTTCATTTGTAATAGAGGCCGAATCAGTGATTGTCGCCTTCTAAAGATCATATCAGAATTAGGTCTAGTAAGAAGTGTTTGTTGCAACTTCCTGAAAGCGATATTTTAGCTGCTCAACTGTGTCCAACAGTGCCTGATATACCAACTGCGTCATGTACCCCCACAAAAAAATCGCAAGGGTTGAGGTCGGGATACCAAGAAGGCCATAGGCCAATGGCCGATTTCTGCCAACCCTGCAAAGTTCTCGTTAAACCAGGCACACTTCACGGGCATAATGACCAAGAGCTCCATCGTGGAGATACCATCTATCACGTTGAGGATCTAGTGGTATATCCTCTAAAACGTTGCCCAAGATGCGACTTAACAACTTTAGATAAGCGGAGGCTGTTGATCGGGGTGGTAAAATGTATGGACCTATTGGTTTCTAACCATTCTTGCCCAAACATTGACATTGAAGCGTGGATTGCGTGGGGATTCTTGTATGACCAAACTTGAGTGTTGTGGGAACTAGAAATACCACTATGTAAAAAGAAGAAACGTTTTTCTCTTCTATTTTACTTTTTATTTGATATTTCTAGGTTACTGGTTTCGGTGTGGCGGAAAATTTAAATGATGAAAGTCGAAAACTCAGCAAGCGAGCTACAGCGAACGTTGTAACGAAATCAGAATATAAGTTTCTCGTCGTAGTTTGTCACCCTTCCTCGGTGATTCTATTCTACATACACGTATAAGACACACTTCAAACTTCTATGCTCAAAAAGCAAAAACCCTGCCGCATATTATACTCTTTACTCGGTCTTCGCAAAACAATCCAACTATTGAAACAAGCTAGGCGTTTCACATGAATGTTCGAACATATTATTAAACCTGCAATAGAATAATTAGAGCTATTAGTAAGAAGAAGCTAAAAAGTTTGCTATAATGTACTCCTAATACGTAAGCAAAAACATCCAGAAATCTTAGTTATAACTTGATTACAAAAGAGAAAAGCTTGAATAAGTGAATTTTGCTAACACGTGGTTTATAGGAACAATTTCGTGACTATTATATTGTGTTAGAACTATTTAGGAACAGTTAAAAATCTTAATTTGAACTGTGAATTTACAAACAATTAACAAAAATTTACACCACTTGTTGACATCGGCAAACTTCATAACATTTCAAATTATAAATCGATTAATAATTAACCACGCTCGTGAGGGGAACTGTGCCGTCGCCGTGGGTGCGATTAATTTTCGTTTAAACAATGGCCGTTTTATTAAACTAGAAGCTAAACTTTACCTAGGTATCCTTAATGTTCACCACGTGCCTACACTCACACTAAACAATCAACAACGCATTAAAATATAAAACAAGTCTACTTTTCCATTACCATTACCAAGCCCTCACCAACTAACAATTTAAAGATTCACATTTCTTTTTTCTATCAGCTCGAAATTTGAATTCAAATTGGGACACCTCAAGACAGGAGATAATTTAAACCTTGATGATTGAAATGTATCGAACTCGAGTTATGCTGTGCTGACATCTACTTTATGTAACGATGAACTTGTACCATTATTGGTAAGCTAGGAATCACAATTATTTGTATTTTGGTTGCTTTTAACAACCATTTCCTAACAAGATAACAACATAGGATGTTATTAACAAAAATAGTCAAAGAGTTAAATGTGAAAGCGGAAATCGACAAAATGAAATAAATTAAAGTATTGTAGTATTAAAAAAACGTGTATAAAAATAATAACCAGTCACCCGTTAATTAATCAACTAGTAATTTTAATTAGTTACAATTACTAATGAAGTATGTAATTAAATTTGTTAGGAATATTTAATTGTGGTTATTTATTACTCCTGATTACAGTTATTTGTTCTTAAGCGCATTACGTCAATAATAATTTAATTCGTTAACGGATTGGTTGACCATGTTTTATTAAAATTAATTGCAGGGCTAGTTATTAATGCGTTAATTAATTAAAACTAGACATAATTGAATGAACTGAGCTTGAGTGAAGAATAAGTGTTCTTTAAGTAACTACCATAAACTCATGTACCTATCTGTTAGATATATATTTGCTATTATTTTCACAGCTAAATAAAACTGACTAGAAGACAGCGTTGACTTAAAAAAAATGGATTTTAGTTAAGTCAAGATTCCACATTTCACCCTAAATATCAATACAACCTACAGTACTTTCTAGTATCCATTAAATAATAATAGGTATAATTTGTTGCATATACGAAACCTGTAAATTTGTTATCTTTAGTATTTAATAAGTCTTCACTGTCTAAATAAAATTATTTAAGTTGATATAGTAGCTAATTATTTTGTAATGACATAAAAGTTAAACATACGATACGATGGTGTCACGTAAACTTATAAAAATATACACTGGTTTACAAAACTTAAGTTTATTATACTACGTTAAGGAAAAAGTCCTTGCGCAAAATTTAAAACGTTGCAGGCTGTCTAAAAGTAAAAATAGTTTTTTGAAGTAACTCGTCTGATCATTGAAGCAAAATGATTTTTAGTCAGCATATGCAGATCATGTTGACTTCATGATCGATTAAAATACGATACCTAGGTTTTATAACTAAGCATTTCATATTATAATGGCCTTAAACGATAGAGGCTAGAGAAGAAATTACATGAATCAGGACCGTGAAACCAAAAATAACTTCAGTGTTCTATTGTTTTGTACACAAAATTAAACTCCACAAACATTCGAAATATCAATTTAATGTTTTTTCAAATTTTGTAATACAAAAGTTGGACGTTATGCAGCATTTCTTGCCAATCCTCGTCTTCATCTACTAGTTTTAATCGATCCAAAAGTTCTTCCACCGTTAAATTTAAATCTGAATTTCTTGCATCACTGTGAAAGTCTTCTATAATAGTTTTAACTTGCAAGGGTGTCATTTTTTTATTCATTGATAATTTTGTAAACACATAATATGCCAATGCTTGAATTCGACAAGTCGTCAGAATCGTGAGACTATCTTTACTACCCTTATTAATAATTTGTATTAAATTCACTCTTGAATTTTTGCTAGGACAAAAATTATTTGACATTTTGACGGTTCTAATGACAATAATAAATAATAAGGTTTATAAAATTTTTTTATTACAAACAAGCTCAACATTTGCCTCTGTTTTCCAGTATCATTTGGATATCATGTAAGCTTTTTCCCTTGGTTTCGGGTACTACTCTCCAAACAAAGATTACCCCGAACGCACAAGACGTACCAAAGAGCCAAAAAGAAGCCGCCATTCCAAGCATTTCGGAAAAGTTGGGGAAAAAAAAGGTTAAAATGAAAGCCAAGAACAAACAGACGAAACAAGTTAAAGTCGAAGCGAACGATCTGAAATGTGTTGGGAAAAGTTCGCCGATCATAGCCCACGTTACTGGTCCTAAACCAAACATGAACAACACAATGTAGAGGATTAAGCAACAAACAGGTAACCAAAAGAGATAAGAAACCACGTCATCGTAGTTGTGGGTTTGCAGATAAAAATAGACACCCAAAATTGTATGAGCAACACACCCACCAACTAAGGAGCCCAATAAAAGTATTTTGCGACCTAATCTATCGACTAGCTGAGATGTCGTCAAGTTTGCCATCAACTGTATCGACCCAACAATTATTGTGGAAATTTCAGGCGGAATAGTACTGCCAGAAGCATCAAAAATTGGTTGCATGTAGGAAATGATGACGGTGATGCCTGAAAATTGTTGAAAGAACATTAAACCACAACCTATGTAAAGCCCTCTGATAATTGCTGGGGATTTCAGGGAATCTTTTAAATTAGTACTAGTTGACGAAGAAATTTCTACATTTTTTTTCATTTCTTCTAATTCTTTCTCAACGTAGTTTCTTCTGAGTTTCTTCAGGGCGGCTCTCGCTTCATCATCTCTGTTCATCATAAGTAGATAATATGGACTTTCGGGACTAAAAAGCCCGAATGAAATTAAAAACACTACAACTGGAATAATCAAAATCAAGCAGAAAATTTTGATGCTTACGTAGGGGCCAATTATGAAGCATAGTAATGTTCCAATTGTACACATCATAGACAAAAAGCATCCTACGTTACCTCGGTTAGAATCCTCAGCAATTTCACCAACATATATGGGAACTATCGAGTATACACAACCAAAAGTAAGACCAAGTAAAAACCTGCTAACGTAGTACAGAATAATGTCGGTGGCAAAAGCAAGGACTAGATTGGCTAGAATTATAGGCAGAACCAACAACAGCAGAGTTTTTTTTCTTCCGATTCTATCCACGATGATGGCTCCAAAGAAAGGTCCAACAGCGGCCCCAATACTGATAATTGATGTGATCCATGACTCTTCAAATGAAGTTATCGGTTTTCCAAACGGGTTATCACTAAGATCGTTTTCATTTTTCAACTTTGGTAGCACAGGTGAAGTCCATCCATAACCACATCCAGAAATTAGGGACACAATGTTCACTGCAAGAATACTATTAATAAAAATCAATAACTGAGGTCTTAACTTACCGGAGATTGCGGCTCCGTAAAGTGACCAATTTATCTTGCCGTTCATTTGGAACGAAATTTGAAATAGAATGACTAGGTACCGTTGTGCGAAATAATTAATTATCTTCTACTTGACAACCGGACAAAGAGATTTTGATAAAACGTTTAACGTTAAAAGTAAATGATACTTGAAGGTCATTATGACAATAAAATATTAAATATAGGAAAAGTCCTAAATTGGAAACGTGAATGTTGTTTTTAGTTAATTCGATTTGCCCTACCATTTTTTTGCTAAAAATATCTACTGTAGTACAGCAGTATCTGCGAAAAAATCACATTACACACAAAGAACAGTTTCGTCATACTTATCAGCAAAGATAAGAAAAGTAAAATTGTATTAATAGCAAACAAATGTAGAACAGGCAGAAATAAGGCTTCACGTCGGAGACTGGAGAACTTAGAAGTACACAAAATAAGGGTAAATATTGATTTGATTTTTCGTACGCTATTTAAAAAGAAAATGAACTGTATAGCTACGGTTACAAAATGTCTATTGTAAATATACAGGAAAACTTTCATTTATGGTAGAATAGACTATATCACTCAAAAATGAAAAAATGCTTTCTGTTTTTTTTATTCATTTATAGCTGATTTTCATTTTGTGGTTCCTAGTTTTAAAATTTATAGAAGGTTTGTTTTGCAATCTATCTTTCACTTGCTGCTCAAAACTAATCAATTATAGCCTTGATGTATACAATTAGTAGAGTTTGCACAAAGTACATAGCAACTTATTTCTGGAATCAAAGTCGGTCAGAATTTTCCCGGAAAGTTCATTACCCATGAACGAAGCTTTTCTTTTCAGTTTATTTAATTTATTTGTAATATCCAAGAAAATATTTAACGTTTTTGAGCGAGATTACCCAAAGAGTGAACAGAATTAAGTGGTTACACATATTCTATGCGTAATAAAAGTTGGGATTAGGTAAAACAAAGGTATGGAGATGTATAATTGTTAATTGTGTTGAAGACAAACATTTTTAACATGATGAAGTGGAATTTTTTTATTATATTTTATTTATTTAAAAAGTAAAACCGGATAGAGGGCAAAGTCTTCTTATCCTCCAGAAATATTATATATATCACATAAAGTTACTTACGAGCTGCAGAACAGTGGTAAATGTGGACAATAAACTAGGCAGTTTGGAACGCATCCAAAGAGTTTGGTGTGCTTTGAAGCATGTAGAAGTACTTATCACAAGCAGTTGGGTTTCATATGCTGAAAAGTAAGTAAGAAAAGCTGCCTTATTTTGGTTCGAAAATTCTCCATCTGTAGTTTTAACTACTTTTACAGAAATGGGAAAGATCACATCGAGAGGGTTCCCATTGTCTAACTCTTCTACCAGGAACAAATTTTTGCTGTTCTGCAGGAATACTTTTGTTGCCAAGCAGGAACTGCATCATATGATCATTGATAATGGACTCCATCCTCCAACCATAAGTGTTAGACAGATCGGGCAGTATTTTTCCAATATCAAGCTTATTGCCCTTTTCTTTCCGGAACGTAAGCTAGGATCCATCCGGCGAATGACTGCATTCATGTTTTCTTGACGTCTCGTGACCCCTAGAGTATAAAAAAACAGGTCTCCCTTTTCAGTCTGTCTTTCCTCTGTTGTCCGTCTCGCTTTGTAGACGAAAAACCCTCCATTAGCTTTTTCTATTCGCTTAGATGTTCTCCACAAGATTTTCGTACGTTGATCATCTGCATTAATTGATGATTTATCTACGGTTTTTTGGTGGATCGAGTGAATTTCCTTAAGACAGAATTTAGAAGGTTCCCCGGTCAGTTTCACCCAAATTTCTAACAAACGATTAGTGATTGAAATCCAGAAAGTTATTATTTTGCTTTAGACGTGAAGATTGACTTGTAAATTCTCCAGAATCGTGATTTGATCTGATTTTCTAATCGGACTAGTAAACTCTAAATTGGAGAGTACCTATATCGGAATTTTCAGATATAGCTAATAAGATCTAAAACGCAGGGCTTTTTCATGGTTAGTTGGTTGTTGGCTGATTCAGAAACCAGTTGAAACAAATGCGAAAACAAGAAGGTGACCAAGTTTGAAAGTCTTAGAATCGGCCGGAAATCTTTACAAACAACGTATATCTGGTATCTGTAATAGATATTGTGAAGTTTGACATCACAAAGTCTGATAGATCCAAACAAACTCTCCCAAACTGTTGAATCTTTCTTAATAGGTGATAATCGGACAACGATATAAAGAAATCAGGCAACTCAAGCTTAAGCCATGATTAACTAACTATGGTAAACGAAATTTAATGAAAGCCTACTGATTTGGACAAAATCAGCTAGCTTACGAAACTTTGAATACAAAAACGCAATGTTGTAGTATATTAGGGAACACAAGGACAAAGAAGTAAAGAGTTTACCAGTAAATTTGAAAGATTTATAATTTTCTGGGTTGTTTCTAGTCAATGAAGTCTGATTTTGGTACTGAACATGGCCTTTTAAGTTCCTGTTGCATTTTTCAATAACTGTTTCGTATAGATAAGTACATGAATGAGAAACTAATGGAAAGATTTGATGTAATAATTTAGCCAGGAAACCAATTATGTCTTTTGTGTAATTTTAAACAATATCTAAAACATCCGGTCCACCCAATGGTTACGTTTTCTCGACGTTTTATGACCCCGAGAGTACGAGAAAATAGATCTCCCGTTTCCGTCTGTCTGCCTGCCTGTCTCTTTGTCTGCCGTCTGCCCAGATTTTTATTAGACAAATAATCCCCGAAACTACTGGACCAACTGTTGTCAAATTTTGTATGTCTATTAGGAATATCGTATAGATAAGGGTAACCAGAATTTGGACACTCATTCCCACCAACAAGCGGACGACGTTGTCTACTATTTACATTAGTAAATATTATTCATATACTCCTGTACATGTGGTTTATGAATCCGTGTGAGTTTTCAACCTAGATATTGAGATTTTTGAAAAAAAAAATCAAAATTGTATAATATTTTGCAAATTTAAATTTGAAATTGCATAACCGAATGGTTTAAAGTCTTAAAGTTATCAGAAGCATAATAAACGTTGTTCAAAATTTTTTCGTTTATGTCCTCCAAAAAGTGACGTCATTTTCCAATCTCGACTAATCAGTTTTCTTAAATTTTATAGAATCACATACTCCTGAATATATGATTTATGAATCCGTGTCAAGTTTTTACTCTAGATGTCCAGATTTTTGAGAAAATATTAAAATTATATAACATTTTACTTTGAAAAACATATTACATTTAACTTTGAAATTGCAAAACCGAATGCTCTGAAAATTTGCAAGCATGGTAAATCGTTAATCATTTTACAATTTTTCGAATAAATGTTCCTTAAATTTTATAGAATCCGTCTTGGGTTTTTACCATGTACATCTAGATTTTTGGGAAAAAATTCAAAATTTTATTTTACAATAATTTAGTTATGAAATTGCAAAACCGAATGCTCTGATTTTGCAAACGTTTTAAGGTTTTATTATTGAATAATAATATTATTTAATTATTATTGTACTTTATTATTTAATTATATGTATAATCATCACATTACTTAAAAATCAATAACTATATACATATACAACAAAGATCAGTCTCCTAATTTAGAAAAGAGCTTTGGAGTAACCCAAACCGCTGGAGTATCCCAAGCCGGTGGAGTATCCCAAACCGGAGGAGTATCCCAAACCGCCGGCGTATCCCAAACGGCCAGAGTATCCCAAACCGCCGGCGTATCCCAAACCGCTGGCGTATCCCAAACCGCTGTATCCCAAACCGCTGACTCCCAATCCGCTGTAGCCCAAACCGACGGCGGGAGCGGCAATTCTAGCTACTGGGGCGGCGATCCTGGCGACGGGGGCGGCGACGGCGACTCTGGCGACGGGAGCGGCAATTCTAGCTACGGGAGCAGCGACGGCGACGGGGGCGGCGATTCTAGCTACGGGAGCAGCGACGGCGACTCTGGCGACGGGAGCGGCGATATTAGCTACGGGAGCGGCGACGGCGACGGGGGCGGCTACTCTGGCGACTGGGGCAACGGCGACGGGGGCGGCGAGGGGTTCCTTGTGGACGACGGCGTTGAATCCGTTGAGGGGATCGGCGGCGTACTCGACGGTGCGTTTTGTGCCATCAGAATCAATCAACGAGTAGCTTCCTTGGACGACATCTCCACGACGAGATTCATGTTGGTTCTTGACGTCTCCGGTGTGGGGGTCGTTGACGGCGTAGCCGAAGTCGTAGTGGGCGGGGGCGTAGGTCTCAGCAACCACGGCCTTGGCGACGGGGGCGGCTACGGCGGCTACAGCGGGACCGTGGTAGGCGGCTACGGCGGGAGCGTGGTAGGCGGCTACGGCGGGAGCGTGGTATGCAGCTACGGCAGGGGCGGCGTATGAGGCGATGGCGGGAGCGGCGTACGAGGCCACGGCGGGGGCGGCGTATGAGGCGTAGCCCAAGCCACCGGCACGAGCGAGAGCCAAGAGGGTGGAGAAGACGACGAGCTGTAATTAGAAACGATTAGGAATGTTTTTGGTGGTTGGTGATGTATTATTACTTTGAATGCCATTTCGTTGGTTGTTTGATGGTTTTTGGTTTGAGTGTGCTTTCTGCAGGCACTGGTCAGTTTTTATACTCAATTTTGAGGAGGGCGTGGTTTTATGTTGTAAGGGACATTCTTGTAAAACGAGTCAAATTTCGGGCATTTTTTATTATTGCATTATCTTGATTGCATTCTGCTATATTTCAAGGTTCCGGTTTCGGCGACATTTGGAGGTTTCGCAAATTGACACCTGGTGCCGGTCTACCCAAATACATGCGGTTTTTATGAAATACGGCTATTAGTGAACTATGAATTTGTTGTTCTTGTAAACCGGTTTAAGTGAAGACACATTATTTTATTTATTGGTACAATAAATTTCTCTAAGAAATTAGTTAATTTAAGGTCGGTGACGTCATTTTACAATTCTGGAAATAAACGTTTTTTTAAATTATATAAAAGAACATATTTCTGCATGTCTGATTTATGAATCCCTGTTGAGCTTTTACACTTGACATCCAGGTTTTTGGGGAAAAATCAAAAGTTAATAACCATGTTTTACCATTTAACTCTGGAATTGCAGAACCCGAATGTGAAATCTTGCAAATATTTTTAGGTTATTGGAAGCATCGTAAATCGTTAATCAAAATTTGTCGGTTGTTTTACAATTTAGCCGAATAATTGCTCTTCAAATTGATGAATGTTTTT